TTGCTTGAAGGTTCTCTACCTCTTCCCAAAGCTAGCGTGGAAACAGAATAGTCATTTTTCAACTCAGCAGCAATGGTACTGCCGGGAGTACTTTCCATCGTTTCTGTGGAGGGCACCTGACTGTGTGAAGACGATTCGGCTATCGAAGAATCTTTCCCAACTTTTGTAGACGTTTCTGGTTGCGAGATGAAGCCGTCATTCTTTTCATTCGTGGTTAGCTTCAGAACTGGTTCCGATGGCAAAACTTCTTTAAAGCTGACAGACGTTGTATGAGAAAGGGTCGTGCCATAATGGGAAGTTTCTTTATCTGTCGTAAAGTCTTCCTCTGATTCCATAAATTCTCCACTTGGGTATCTTAGGCCTTGCGGTTCTTGTAGGTCGGTTATTGGCGGCGGTTCTTCCATAAAAGATGGTTCTGAGATCTGGGGAACTTTCGAATCTTCAGAAGTTGTAGAAACTTTTGAACGGTCATTGCCGCTCAGAGTTTCATTGGTCAACAGCAGATCTGTTTTAACGTTGATAACTGACTCAGTGGCGGTGATATCTTTGGCAAAGCTGTGAGTTGTTTCAGGTACATGAGCCAGGCTTGAATTTGAAACAACAGAAGGGGGTTGTTGAATTGACGAATATGATTCATTATCCTCCCACTGTGAGGTAGGGCTGACGTCGCTGGAACTCTCCGGCATTGAATCTGAACTTGTATCAGGTTGAGACGTCGAAGACGATGAAATGTTCAGCAATTGTGTACTGCTTGATGCAGTGTCCTCCGGATTTGATAGAACATTTAGTGAGGATTGTGCCGACCACACATAACCATCAGGGTCTTTCGTTATTGTCTGATTGCCACCGCAGACCATGTCCATGGTTGGAGGCTCCTTGGGGAAATCAGCCATTACCCTAACAATAATAGTCGAAGTCGTGATTTCTGAAGAACGTTCATCCACCGTAATCGGATACAGACAGAAGAATGACGATGTTTCGTTTACCACACTGCGAGTCAGTATCAATGTACCTGTGACCGGTTCCATTTCGAAATGATCGTATCCTTCCGGAAGAAGATACTTTCTATACGATTGTGATTCGCTTCGGGATGTAGATTGAGATAAACGAAGGATAGCGGTTTGAGGGGTGCTCTTTGGACTGATTACTGCTTCCAGTATATCGGATTGCGTGTTCTGAGTTTCACTGGGAGATTTTGGGATGCCGAAGACAAAGCTATACTTGTGACTTGGGACAACAGTGCTTTGGCAGACCAGCAGATGTAGTCGAGAAAAAGATCCGTGCTCGGATGCCCAAGCGAACCACCATTCTTCACCGGAAGCGTTGTGACTGGAAGCCAAAAGCAGATGATGCGTCGCCGTTTGAAAAAACAGCTCCTGCTCACCGTAAACGACTGTAGGACCCCCCTGAGAAATCTGATCTATAACGCTTAGCAATGTCACCTCCACACGATTTGAATAGCGATCTTCATTCAAGACTTCCAGTGCGAGGTGCACTGCGGTGACAGGCCGAAATTCGCCTCTGTCAAGAAGAAATACTGCGGTGGGCGTTTGGGTAGAATTTTCTGCTAAAAGTGCCATAAAAGGCGTCGAGGCGATGGTATAAAACCATCGTATGACGGAAAAGGCTTTTCGAGGAATTGCCGACCAGATTTCCCCATCCACTATGACTCGCTGGCGAAATTCAGCCACGCATGAGTCGGTGTCCCCCTCCAGAAACAACATTAAATTGGACACGCTTTTTGCGCGCACCAGCGCCAGCCTTTGTTCCGTTTGAAATTCTATTTTACTCTCATCCAACAGCACGTCGGATATGCGGAATGCGACTGAAGGCGTTGGTTCTTCATCACCCGATGAGTCACATTTTCTCACTGATATTTCTTCGGTCACAAGGTGCACATTTCTCAAGCTCCTGTATCCATTGTTCTGAACGACCACAACAATGTTTGGCATTTTTTTATGGATTTGTTTAGTGACTGTGACGGGGTGAAATAAATACCACAAGGAGAGCATTCTTTTCGGTCGGAGGTACAGTCTGTCCGACTGTATATGCAGTGACGACTGATGCCGGTCGTAGCGAAGTTGCATTGCTATCATCACAACACATTCCTCATCTTCGGCCGTCGCCGTCACCACTTCATCGACTATTCGAACAGACCATGTGACAGAGCTGGCCTGCTGTGGTAAAATCTCACCGTCTTCATCGAAATTAATCGAATCTGAAAATTAAAAACGTAATTAAATGATTTTAATGTTTCAAGGGTAAATGAGCAACAGATGATAAACTTTTTTTGAGGATCATCACGATCAGGATTTCCAGTGAGTGCCTCTTTTGGCAAGGTCACATAGCGCCATGTCCAGTAGACAGAGCGAGCACCGGATGGCGGGAAGATATTGAACTACTTGAATTGTTTGTTCCTTAGAATCCAGCCCAATCCAGCCAATCGGGATAGCAGAAGATCCGGATCACATGAAGCCAATTGCTCCCCCATACCAAAAAGGAAAAGCGGACTTAAAAGAAGAATATTTTGTTCATATATTGAAGAAAAGTTGAATTCAATGGTTTTGCGGTCAGTTCACCGCTATAACATGATCTATGAGCAACCATGCCTAAGCTATAGACCCAAATTTGGTGTCATCGACGTCGCATCCGGTTGCGGAAAGAAGCCATCTGCAAATGAGTCTGTAAGAAGTCTATGATGTCTGGTAGCCACCGGCAGGCGAAAAGTCTTATTAGACAAGAGAATGATGATTTGCAGCCAGCCGAGCAAGACTTCTGAATTTTTTTTAATGAAATTGAATTACCGTCATTCATGATCTACACAAGTCCCGTTAACGAGAATACGCCTGAAAATGATGTATATTCATTAAATTTCCATCTTATTAAACAAGAATCCTCAATTGTTGTTCACCGTAAAATGGTGTGGTTTCATTGTGAATGTGACTAGGCTAAACTCACCTGACTACAATGCATCACTAGCAATCAGTCATTGCAGAAAGGCCCCCTGTTTCAACGGAGGTTGCTGCTCACGGTAACCGCACAGTGCCTGTAAATATGTTGAATTTCGCTTTTCTACCAACGACCCACGAGCAAACCAGCCTCGCTTGAACCATACAACATGCCCTAACCAATAACATCCTGTAGCCAGGGGTTACAGGTAGTCGGAGCCATGCGTGACTTATGATGCTAGCTATAAACTTTTCATGCATATATGCTAAAACACATCAGCATATATTATTTTACTTAAAGCTAACATGTATTTAGTATCTTACCAACAATGTTTGTCAATACTGGAACGGGGACACCGGTATCAGTGATCATTTTCAGTGTGAGGGAAACATGTGAGATTGGACGAGGTCTGATGTTCCTCAGTGTTAGTCGTACAGTGAACGGTTCGTCTTCTTGCACGTATGCCCTTGAAATGCTCAAATACGCGTTGATGCAGCTGGATGGAGCTGCCACCTAAAATATGTATCATTATGAATTGGTCGCTTTCTGAATCATGTGGAAACCTGACGTTGTGAATGAATTATGTCCCAGTAGTAAATTTTTTTCAACATAGTTTTCAAGTAGATTTAAGCACTGGTTTGGACGAAAGTTTAGATATATTAGACAATTGAAGTATAATTTTTAATTTAATAATTAATCAAACTGTTTAGTTCGCATTCATAGAGTGTGCTTTACTGTTGAATGCGGAGCAGGGTCTTGTAAATTTTATCAGATGTGTGACTTGTGCGATATTCTTCAATATTCTTTGCAGCATTACATCAATTTAAAATTCAATTGTTTCACTTATTTTAGTTTGAAGAGCTACCATAACTTACAAAAATTAATGTAAAATGGAGTCTCCTAAGAAATAATTCCATATATATATGGATCATCCTGAAACATCCATCCTGCGAAAGTGCCCCATTTCGTTACGACCCTAGGTCTGCCTAAGGTTCGTGAATGGCTTCTTAGCGGTGTT